AAGTCAGGACCAATAACATTGTATATTCTTCTTTGGATTTCACCAAGAACCTTTAAATACATAGCAGAGGCACCAGACCAGATGTAGCAGAAGTATTCAAGGCATAGATAAATGGTAGACTCATAAATATATCAGATTCTGGCCAAAAAATTTTCTAGCATGACAGCAGAATACCTAGTGATTGATTTAATATAATCTTTCCACTTCAAGTCAGTGAGAAAATGTTATCCCCAAAAAGCACAATGAGGCACTCTTTTCGAGGTTAGCATCATCCAAGCTGAAAGCAGACAAAATAGGTTCTCTAACATGTTTAAAAGAGAGTAGTTTTGCTCTGGAGACATTAAAATTAACAAGCCATTTTTTGCCTGGTCAACAACAGATTATAGGTCATTTTTTAGATCAGCTGCCAATTTGACTTATCAAACAGATCAGTTTAACTATTAAGACAGGAGTAAATAGTTGTCATCAGTATGGATAATGAGTTTAGAACTGATGAAATCGAGAAGATCATTGATGAAAATTAGGAATAATGTAGGTCCAGGGACAGAGCCCTGGAGGACACCCACATTAATGGAAAAAGCTCTAGAAGAACTTTCATTTCGCGATTAAATCAGATCAAAAATTCATTCAGAAATACCATAACATTTCAACTTGTGAAGAAGACCAGCATGCTAAATCCTGTCAAATGCCTCTGAGATATCCAAAACAGACCAAGCTTTATCATTCTTATCAAAGCTAGATATACCCATTTAGCACATTAGCAGTTGACCAAGAGAAGAGGATTTCCAACAAGCAGGAAAGCAACAAAAAAAAGCAAGGCATTTATTGTATAGTTTACAGAGAACAAGAGCCAGTTCAGAACTAGATTTCCTAAGGACTATTGCAGGAACATCATCAAATCCACACGCTGTGTAGGGATCTAGTTTAAAATGATAGCAAAAACCATGGATGGAGTTATATGCTTATCACATAATAGAGACTCAGTTCTAAGTGGAAAGTCAGGTAAACATGCTCCAGAAGAATCAAGAGTAGAATTGGAAGAGAATATATAAGCAAAACATTCTGCTTTATCAGCAGAAAATGATAACACCTCAAATTGAGTGAAGAGAGGAAGAAAAGAAACTTACTCTTACTTAACACACTATTACAGAGCCACCAGTAGTCACAAGAATCAAATTTATTAGAGGCTATATGGTGCCACATTCTGTTAGCAAAAGACTTAGACTCTTTGTGGACACTTAATTATTATGAGCAGACATAAAGTAGCATCTGTTGGGATTAGAACTATCATGTTGGTACAACTGGAAAAAGTGATTCCTGTTGGATATAGCAGCTGAGGATGTGCATCATGGTGTAATGGATATCAGTTTGGAGTTCAAATTCCAGTTGAGTTTGTTAGATTCACTTATGGACAAATAACCTTGGGAAACATATGAATCCATCTCTTCTCCCCCCAGACAGACTAGGTTATTTAGCCTTGGTTGGAAACCAGTCTACCACAGAAAAAATGGCAATCTACTGTGGGAAAAAATCTGCCTCATCAATCATGTATCAAAAGATACGTTTGCCCAAGTATGTATCACGCGTGACACTTAACTGACTGATAAGCAGGTGTGAAACAAGGAGAAAATTGTGGTTTCCCCTGGTATTTCCAAGAAGGCTTAAAATCATCAATGACAGCTTTTACACTATTTTCAATAGGAAGGTTAAAAAGTTCACTCCAATGGGTGATGTAAAGAAATAACAAAATAAATCCCTATCGGTACACTAGTAACAAAAAGTAAACTTGTGAATGGGAGATTCATGCCTAATAAACAACTCAAAAGAAATATCAACAGATACTACAGGGTGATCTGAATTGCTAAGAGGTCAGAATTGCGATGCCTGACAAGAGCCAGAAGAGGAGGTAAGGAACAAATCAAGTAAAGAAGCATGTTTCTGTCTATACTTCCGAGATGAGGTATTATGTACACTATTTACATTGTTTGGACTATCATTCTCATCTTTGTTGCCATATGTATTACAACATTTTGGCAGTTGTACACTCTGGCCTGCTTCAAGAGGTTGGAATGTCGAACTGAACCCTTTATTTCGCTTGCCGGGGTAGACTGTTCTAGTTCCACGTGCCATGTCTAATGGATGTCAGTTATCAGTTAGCTCCTGTTAATTACCTTCTCCAAGTTCTCCACCATCTGGTTATGGTATTGAACTCACACTTTTTGGGTCCTGTCACTGGATCTAACTAATGCCTTTATCCACTGTGCCATGTGTCCTTGAGGACATCTGTGTATGAATTTATGGGTATTATAAACCTAATTTCTTCAGTAATCTTTTTTACCAGTGTTCATATTGCAATTTTTGCTGTTATCATTGCATGTCTTTTACCAGAGCTCATATCACAATTTTTGCTGTTATTATTGCTTTTCTCTGGCATTCCTTATTATTGGTTCCCATATTGTATTCATTTCTATGCTTGGTCAGCTCAAGAGATTTTTGTGGCCTAGCATATTTGCTGATTCCTTAAGCTTACGAATTGTCCAATGATGTTCTTTGTCTATTATTTCAACCTGATCCCACAGAGGGCAGTGATATCCCTTTTCTCTCCATATGTGGTCAGCCACGCCTGATTTTTCTACTTCCTCTCATGTTACAGCTTTCTGGTGTTCTTGAAGCCTTATCTTAAGGGGGCGGCCTGTCTCCCCTTTATATTTCTTTCCACAGCTGCACGGGATGTTGTACACACAGTCTTTAGTCATGTTCTCCTCTATTGGTCTTACTCGGGTGAGGTATCTGCAAAGTGTCATCCAGCTTTTGAAGGTTTGAAGCATGTTGATCAGAATTATTAGTAAAGCAAGTAGGAAAATCCACTATTTGACTGAGAAACTGAACAATGGAAAAATTGAAAGTTTGAATACTACTAACATAATAATTAAGCCACTTGGCATGATAAGTATTAAAATCACCAAACACAAAAATGTTCACAGATGAATGTAGAGGGATAGTTATTTCTATACTGTCAGATATTTTGTCTAATATATTACAGTCCTGAAAAGAGGAGCAATAAAAGAAAAAAAAGATATCTAAAAGAGTGCAAAGTTGAAAGCACATAAAAGAATCATCCAAGGACTTGTCGTTGGTAGATTATTTTTAATGTAAACACCAAGTCCATGCATATTTATCCTAGAATATTTTTAACAAAGAGAAAGATAGCCTGGAACAGAGAATTCATTGATATTGATAGAAGATTTTAGTTTCACAAAGCATTAAGATATCTGGAGAATGTTTCAAGAGAAAAGATTCTACAGTACAAAAATTAGTACAAATATATTGAATATTGGAAAAAGGTTAAAGAGCATAGGTGATTTTTTGTTTACTTGTATTTGTTTTAATTGTAACTGCCATGAGAAGTTTATTTTAATTTTTAAGAAGAAAAAGTCAAAAAATAATTATCACCATCCATTGTCTATTGCAATATAAACAGGCCAGGTTGTTAAGACTAAAGCATAATGTGGCCTCAGGGTTGATCCTCAGTAAGTGCCCCACATTTGTAGCTTTGTCCTGACTAAGATAAATATGTCTTTAACTGAAGTTCAGAGATAGAACATTGGAAACTTCAAAATGTATACAGATTCAAGAGAGTAAGCAATGTCAAAATGCTTAGAAATTACCTCACATAGATGTTAAATTTATTACAGTAATTTAACTTCAGCAAGAGAACAAGAGGCTATCAAGTTTAGGGTTTAATACTTAGTGCTTAATATGTGACACTAGTTGAAACTGGAAGAGCCCAAAGAGGAGACATAAGCTAATGATAAAACATTATATATGTGACTAAACATTTTCAATATTCTAAAAAAAAAAAAACTACTGAAAATATCTCAAACTGATTGGCTATTTACATAGCTAGCTTCTGCTCAAATGAGAAGACAAGTAATCTGCAAAACTAAATAGTGTTCTAAGCAAAGTGTTAGTAAACTGGACTAGAGGGTGATGTTTAATTTAATTATATATATATATATATATATATATATATATATATATATATATATAGAGAGAGAGAGAGAGAGAGAGAGAGATCAAGTTTATGTTTTTGTGTGAGAAATTTTCAATATTGAATTCAGGTATAAGTATTAAAAATAAACTGAATTAATAGGAGCGCCACATAGTTTAATAGGAAGGATATAAGAAAACTAAACCAACAATTTGAAATAGTTAATGAGCAGTAGTTTTCTGTGCTAATAGCTTTCAGAAAAAGTACATTCCCCAATTTACTTGCCTCCAAGTCCCATTGTCAAACATCTTGATTCTTAGCCACTAATAAAAGCAAAACAGAAAGCAAAAAGACAAAAACTGATGGTTTATGACAACTATTACTACCCAAACTAAAACTAAATTCTAGTGTTCATAATAACAGGTAAATGATGAGATGATATTGGTCTTGTATGAAAAATTTGAAACATGAACAAATGTACAAAAGGGGATGCTGAAAAATTATCAGCCCAACCCATTTCTCACAATTACTATTCTGATGTTTGGTCTTTCAAATACTAATTTCATACAATATATAAATTAACAACCCTCTTGATAATTATTTTCCAAACAAAATCAACAAAATGGCTGCTCTGTCTATTGTTGGCAATAACAAACATAGATTATACTTTTATTTTTGAGAAGCTCATTGCTCTCTTTCTGCTAAAGTATGACAAAAGAAAAAGAATAGGATTTACATCACATTATCGAATAGTTGAGATTTTATTATAACAAAATCAATCACAAGAAAAAACACTGATGTTAAACTAGGGCAGTATCAATGATACCCACATGGTTATAAAAATCTACTAATTTCTCTGTATAGCAGTGAATGTCATTAGACATCTCACCATTAACTAAAGATTATAAAAATGAAAAAAAAATAAAAACTCATACCTTGTAAATTTCAAAGTAATGATATATCTATTAAATAAAACAATATTTCCATAATATCAATGATATTTACTTACCTGATCTTTCAGCATTCACTTTATATTGATAGTATTGGTAATATTCACCACCAAACAGAAAACTGAACTTGGCATTGTCCTTTTGTTTCTGTTTAGTCATCTGTTCAAATTCTGGCCCATTTCTGGCTACAAAATTGGCCAATTTATCAATTATATTTTTTTGTTCAAGATCTGAAATGCAAAAATAAAACAAAAAAAATTATATTGCAAGTCATTTCTCAAAAAACAAAAAAAAAATCTCATTTTTACTATCATATTGTCTAAAAGCCAAATCTCCCTATTGCTGTAAAAAAAGAAAAAAAAAACATTTCATGAAAACCAATAATAAATTTTGATTTTAACATTTTTTAATAATCATTTATAAGGGAAACATTTAAATATCATCATCTGTATCAGTATTACTATGGTATTGGTAATTTTCTATTTCACTAAATTTTAAATAAAAATCTTGTAAATTCATCTAAAAGATGAGTACTTACTAAACGTAATATTATAAATATGCTTACACAATTGTAATGCTAGGAAATTAACTAAAGTCATAAAACTAAAAGCAGTGGAAGTTTTAATCAGTGATAAATAAAAAATAAGAGAACATTAAAAAACAGACTATTTACTTAAATACAAGGTATAAATAAAGTACAGGGTTCCCAGCCTAATTACTGGATAAAATTCCCTGATTTCCCAGAAAAATTCCACTGAAATTTCATGATTTTGGGATATTTTATAACAAAAAGACAGTAGTAAGTATATAGCAGAGCACAGTTAAAAAGATGAAGGAACAAAATAATACACATTTTTATCCAAATTTTACTAATCCTAGAAAACAAATATCTATCCCATAAATAATATTTAGCATTTATTTTCAAACAAGCTTCAAGCTAAAACAAAACAAAAAAAAAAAATGATATAACTGTCATCATAAGAAAATTTTCTGATTTTTCTTTAAAAAAGTATTTTTCAGGTTGGCAGTGAAACCTGAAATAACTACTGCATTTGAAAATCAAAATTATTCTTTTAAAATACTCATCATGCATGAAACACTAAATAAACACCCCTTTCTCTAAGTGATTGGGAGTATCCAATGACCAATGAGGCCAAAATTGATTACATTTTCAACAATCTCACAATTAATCAAGATTTACAGTTTCTTAAGTTTAAAAAGGATGTTTTATGTTTTATATCAGTCAGTTAAATGCCCCACATGATACATGCTAGGATGATCAGGTATCTTTTGATACATGACTGACAAGGCAGATTTTTTCCCGCAGTAGGTTGCCATTTCTTTCTATGGTAGACTGGTTGCCAACCAAGACTAAAGAACCCAGTCTGTCCTGCTATTCAACCCATAACTGGGAGGAGAAGAGATGGATACATACCTTTCCCAAGGATATTTGTACATAAGTGAATCTAACAAACTCAACTGGCATTTGAACTTGACTCTCCAAGTTCTCCATCCAAGCTAAAATTTATTAAATGCTACTTAGCACAAAATTCTTTTTTCCTCTCCCTCAGATTATTGTATGAAATGAAACATATACTTATCTAAGTTATGAATCAAATAAAAACTATTTCAGATGGACAAAAAACTTCATCAAAGCCATTAGCCTACAAATGAAATATTGAACCAAAGAAAAAGCAATCAGTTTTCTCTTAAACCCAAACTGAAAAATGTTATCAAGTGATGAGGAACATAGTAGTAGTAGTATTTATCTTGGCTAAATTCATATCAAATCAATGATAAGAAAATTATAATTTTTTTTTCTGTAGCCTAATTAGTGCTTATAAAATCCCCTACTCTTTCTAAGGCTATACAAATCAAAATCAGATTTTTAAAAATTCTGAAATACCATGTCAATAAAGAAAATTGATTGTTTCCATAAAACATTGTCCATTAAAATCAAGTAGTTTCATGCTTAAACATTATAGAAAATCAAATTGCAATAACCTTCCTCACTCGTAATAAGCACTATAACAGTTCAATGGGGCAATTTTCTACAATAGATATATAAAATCTTCTTTGATTAGTCTCTAAACAATGAATGGGTTGGTCAGATTGAAAACAAAAAACAAGTTCACATTCATATATGATCATTTTTAGGTTCATTTCCAGTTCATACAGAAGATTGACCTTCTGGATTAAATATATTTTTTTTTTATACAGCAAAATGCTCTTCCTCCCATCAACTTTCTTTGATGTAAGAAATGTTACCCAGGAATTCAAAACAGGCTTTCAACATTTTATGTATTTTATAGATCCAAAACTATAATAGAATATGAACTTTTCAAAATTAAAATGAGCAATACTTCCTAAGTATTTGGCAATATTCCTTTCAAGTCTAAAATTTGGATTTGCTTTCGAAATATGCATACAAAATTTATATTTGTTTTAATATAATGTACACTTCTAATTTTCTATTATTAAACATTCTCTTCCTCCATTTTTGGCACCATTAAACACCCTATGAAGTATAGGGCCACAGCCTAACCATGCTAGATATTGTTGCCGTACTTTTTATAGGTTGGAGTTGCCAGCTCCACACCAAATCAGCTTTGAATTTAGAGCTGTCCTTCTCCTAGACTGGTTACCAATCAAGGCTAGAGAACCCAATCTTTCCTGCTGTTTAATCCATAGTTCGGGAGATAGAAGTATTTATGCAAAAATGAATGCAACAAACTCAGCGGGAATTTCAGCTGAACATATCAATTCCACTTTCTGCACCAATAACTGCTAGACTATGCATATGTCCTTATTAAACATCACCCTACCCTCCATTCTCCTAATGCAATATACAACATATTGTACACTGAAAATGACTAAAACAAATCTAAAGCAATTGTAGAACTATTTCAAAATTTTTTTTTGGTTACAATGAAAAATATTAAAACTATGTAGAAACATAATTCATTCATCTTTATTGAATTTTTATATGATGAGAAACACTTATAACTAAGAGGGATTACAACAACTCCTTATAAATCCAAAACAGTGGTCATCATGGTTTATTCATTAAAGATGTATCAATAAACAAATCCAAATCATGAAAAAGTATTTGAATTTTTAACAAGATTTCTTTTCAACAATTCAGACACTATTCTACTTGTAAAAAATTTTTACATTAACATAACAACTGCTGTACAAAGGCCTAAATTATAACTGAGGTAATTGTGTTAATTCTCACAATGATGATTTTCAAGGTTGGTAAGCCCTCTATGCTTGAAATATTGATGCACCACCATCTTATTACCCACATATAGGCTTATGAAATATTGATAATGAAAGGTAAAAAGAGTATGGATCATCGATAACATATCTTGATGCTATAAATAGGTTTAATACAAGCTGAACCTTAAAAACAGCAAAAAACAGACACTCAGACTTGTCTTTAATCCAATATTCCTTGTAAACAAGAGCTAAATAGAAAATAGTGAATATGTAAACATTTTACATATATACTGAAATTAAATATCTTATTGTATTGGCAATTCTAATCACTTTTTCTCAAGCCAATCAAATTAGTAACTAAGAAATGGATGATCCAATGACAGATCAATCTGTATTTTTTCCTGATATATATACTGCATAAAAAGAACAAGGAAAAGAATTTTATCAAAAATAACGATACAGCAGTATAACCTGAGTACATCAAAATACTATTTTGTTTTTTAATTTACTAAATATTTTTTAGTCTACTAGAAAGACACAGTATCCATATGAAGATCAATTTTACTAATAAATTTGTCTGCAAGATTTGCCTAGACAAACTAACTAACCATGACATCACAGTAAACACCTAAATGTTTATAGATAATTATAAAGCCTTAAATATGTTTTTTTTTTATTAGTCATGGCAGAAATATTTTTTTTTATATTTATTACCCCCCACAACTAATTTTATGAAAACTCTAGAAATTCGATCACATCAGGTTTAGTGATTACAATAGTTAAAAGCACAAGACTTTGAGGAATGCAAATCATGTTTTTTGTTTTTAATTGGACCCCCCCCCCACCTGAAAATCAGCTCTGAATTGTAACATACAAAACTCAATAGAACAAAGATATTATTTAATTTCAAATGCTTTTAGTTGCTTTTATGAATATGGACAATATTTTCTGAAAGCAACAAATTTTTTCAATGAAAAATGAATTTTTAATACAATTATTTGTTATTTCTTAATTATAATAGATTTTTACATTTAAGTTGTTAAAATATTACAAAATTAGTTAAAAGCCACATCAAGTTTCCTCCTTATGAGATAGATCTTTTTTTAGCGCGTTGTAAATTGTATAATTTTGACTAATCAGAAGATCCGCAGTAATTAAGAAATGTAATTTTGTGTATATAATCAGGCTGTAATTATAAAGTACAGAAGACCAACCAGAATACAATTAAGTTGCTTTATTTGAGTTAAGCATTGTTCTTCGCTGTTAAGGCCTTTACTTTTGTGAAACACGTGTGGAGAAGTTAATTTGATTTTTCAATTTCAACTGAGAAGGGTACCTACAAGTATCAGTATCATCTTATGAAATTTATATGATCTTATTTTTATATTAATCTTAGTTATGACATTTTTCCATAAATGAAATATCAAAATTAATAATAAAATCAATGGAAATACAAATAACTCAGTAAAATGTAATAAATGTACATAAAATTATAGTATTTTATGTACACTTCTGATAAAATTTCATGAGAAAGGTACCTATAAATTAATTAGATACCTTTCTTATGAAATATGAAATTTAATCTCACTCTTAACAGTCTTATTTTAATTTCTTTATAATATATTTTCCATAAAGCATCGTAAACCTAAAGGTGAAAGCAAAGTACAAAAAAAAAATTAGTGCGCTGAAAGTTTTCCTTAAAAAATAACGAGGTAAATAATTTGTTCACTTAAATGTAGATTATTTCACTTTTCTCCTTCTGTAGAACAAATTATCCTCACAGAATCCATCAATATGTCATTCATCACATGTCAAGTGACGCAAAAGTTTATGACCTGCTTTGTTTTATTTTCAAATTACATCTTTTCGGCACAGAAGCTAAGTTAAGCTTGGTTCAAAATATTTTTAAATAAACATTATAATTTCTGATTTTCTTAAAATAAGTTTTAAAAAACTGATAATTGATATTTAAAAGAATTTCAAAGTGAGATTTCCAGTTTTTTTATAA